ATTTGAAAAGATCGGCAGCAAAATGTCTCCATACAAAAGCCTTAAGAGGCAATATCTTGGTGCTGATAATGGCACAAGAGTCAGCATTTTCAGGAGGTGCAAGTTAGGGTCCTTCCAGCTTTGAAGGGAGGGCAGTGAAGTGTGGGGTATTGGGGGAAACAGGGAAAGCACTGCTTGGTCACTGCAGTGGTCCACCTTGGGAGAAGCATGCGGAAGCACGCGGGAACGGCACAGGGATGGCACCCATGATATTCATCTGGCTTTTCCCATTGCCAGAGTAATTGAGGGACACCTCTGAGGGGAAGAAAGGCTCTGTGAAAGGAGAGGTAGTTTTCAGGGGGACTGACCAATTTAGGAAGTATAGTAACTCCCCCTTGATCTACAGTTTCACTTTCTATTGTTTCAGTTTCCCATGGTCAACCACAGTCTGAAAACATTAAATGGAAAATCCCACAAGTAATATGCAAGTTCTAAGTTGCATCCTGTTCTGAGCAGCATAATGAAATCTCAAGCCATCCCTCCCTGTCCTCTTGGGATGTGAACCGTCCCTTTGTCCACCATATCCACGCTGTATATGCTACTTGCCCGATAGTCACTCCACAGCTGTCTTGGTTACCAGGTCAATTGAAGTGGCATCAAAGTGGTTGTGTTCAGGCAACCCTTATAGTAGCCAAATGCTGTCACAACACCTACAACATGCACCTTACTTCATTGCATCATCTTACCTCATCATAAGAAGGGTAAGTACTGCACAATATTTTTATTACAGTATATTGCTATGTTATTTTATTATTAACCTTACTGTGCCTAATGTATAAATTACACTTTACAATGAGTATGTATGTATGGGAAAAACACATTATACATGGGGTTTTGCACTATCTGCAGTTTCAGGCATCCAATGGTGGCCTTGGGATGTATCCCCCACAGATAAGATGGGGGACTAGTGTGTGTGTGTGTGTGTGTGTGTGTGTGTGTATATACATACATACATATATATATATATATATTTTTTTTTTGAAATTGATTCTGTATAACCCCTCAATTACCAGGAGTGTATGTTCATTTGAAGACTACTGGTTAACAATGCCAAGTAACAAGTCAAGCAAGGAATGAAGTGAAAAAAATACCTGTTTAAGGAAAATGGAATCATTGATGTGATAAAGGTAGTTTTCAATGCAATTATATCAAAGTTGGGTGAAACCATATTGAAGTAACTGAGGGTAGGGTTGGCAATGAGTAAATAGACAGTAATAGAAACAAGTTAAGATTGGATATAGAAGGCGTGGAATTAGGATTATAACTTAAGTACATATCTAGGAACAATCTTTTTAAAAAGATGTGAAATTTTTTGGGTACAAATGCTGACAGAAAAAAGTTCAGTAGACTAAGGGAGGGGTTAAACGCTCAAAAGCAGATAATCTTTGCATAAGAAGACGCAAAGAATTAGCAGTAGCTAGCATTTATTGAGTACTTATTAACTACTAGAGGCCTGGAGCCTGGCCTGCCCCCTCTTAAAGTCCAGGAGCCCTCAGGGGATGTCTTACTGACGGCCAGGAGTGGGCCTAAGCTGCCCTTTGACCTCCCTCTGTAGGCGGCGACTGGGCCGATAAGGGGAAGTGGCGCAATCACCCGACTGCTACTGCTACTGCCCACTGCCGAGGCTGCCACCACGTTAAGTCTGAAAGGACATTTGGCTGTCTGATCTAACTAGCATATTATGCTTTTATTATAGATTCGTGTGCTAAAGCTTTTTACCCGTTCTAATTCGCAGTCACCCCCCAGGGTAGTTGCTATTGTTACACTCATTTTACAGCCAGGGACTAGAGCTTCAGGCCTAATTAGGCCCAAGGTCACTCAGTTTATCAGCTAAGGTAATAGAACTGGGATCTGACCTGGAGTAGTGAGACACTTTTTTTTTTTTTTTTTAAATATATTTTATTGATTTTTCACAGAGAGGAAGGGAGAGAGATAGAGAGCTAGAAACGTCGATGAGAGAGAAACATCGACCAGCTGCCTCTTGCACACCCCCCACTGGGGACGTGCCCACAACCAAGGTACATGCCCTTGACCGGAATCGAACCCGGGACCTTTCAGTCCACAGACTGACGCTCTACCACTGAGCCAAACTGGTTTCGGCATGAGACACTTTTCCATGGCTGTGGATTTAGGTGGATGTTCAGAGAATATCTGCCTGACAAAAATCTCTATTTCTTAAATAAGCTGGAAGACAGACATGTTAAGAGGAAAGGAAAAAAGAGTCATTGATGCCAGACAAGTTTGATAATAGAGGTTTTAAATTGTTATTTAGGAGAATGAGAAAAGAGTTTGACTAGAGAAAACACCAAGAACATGCAGTGTTGAGATCAATTAACATTAACTTTTAGTAATACTGATTTGTGCATTTGGAGTTTTTCTCTAGAAATAATTTGCAGAGACTATTCAAGGGATTTTCCAGGAAGGCATCACATAGGGAAAGGTTATTTGGGATACTGACTACAGTCATATATATATTTTTAAAAATATATTTTATTGATTTTTTACAGAGAGGAAGGGAGAAAAGAGCTAGAAACATCGATGAGAGAGAAACATCGACCAGTTACCTCTTGCACACCCCCTACCGGGGATGTGCCCGCAACCAAGGTACATGCCCTTGACCGGAATCGAACCCGGGACCTTTCAGTCCACAGACTGACGCTCTACCACTGAGCCAAACTGGTTTCGGCTGACTACAGTCATATTGAAATGATAGCTCAATTAAAAATTTAAACAGGGCATATGAGACAGGTGAAGATAGATGAATAATAACCTGACATGACTATGTGTGAAGAAATAGAACTGTTAAGATCAGAGGTGAATTTCTAAATTTGAGATTTCAGAGTAAAGTTGTTTTGGATATTGAAAGTACCTAGGAGACAGTAATACAACTAAAGCTCTGTATGTAAATGGTCACGGATGTCAATCAGATATCTGATCACTTCAGACTTTCTTCTATACCACATGTGTCAAACACAAGGCCCGCGGGCCAAATCCGTCCCGCCAGGCCTTGCAATGTGGCCCGCACCGCGCTGTCATCACTGCACTCCGCTGCGTTTCCATCACAATGACAGTTTATGACTGTTCAGTAAACCATTCGGCCCGCGATTTAGGCTGGATTTTAGATTTTGGCCCCTTCTCTGATTGAGTTCGACACCCCTATTATACTGTCAATACCCCCAGGTTTAAAGAATTATAAATTTGGCCCTAGCTGGTTTGCTTCAGTAGATAGAGCATCAGCCTGTGGACTGAAGGGTCCCAGGTTTGATTCCGGTCAAGGGCACATGCCCGGGTTGCAGGCTTGATCCCCAGGAGGGAGCGTGCAGGAGGCAGCTGATCAATGTTTCTATCTCCCCCTTCCTCTCTGAAATCAATAAAAAGAAATATATTTTAAAAATTATTTAAAAAGTAGAGATTCGAGGAATTTTATATATTAATACGCACAAAATTGAAATCTATTCCCGAGTACCTTTTTAATCACAAGACAGTTATCCCCACTTTTCAGCTTGCTCCTTTGCCAACTCTGGGTCCCAGCCTTGGGTGGGCACAGGTGGGTAAACAGCATGCTGAGCCTCTTCTATTTAAACTACCCACAACTAGCAATAAATTCAACATCATGTCCAACCTTTTCTTTCAGCATTGCATACAAACTTTTTGCTCATAATCCATTATAACCTGGTAGGACCGATGTTGTATATGCAACATGACTGAAACATGAAGCCGTACATGACTAGAAGATTTCTGGGAGGGGGGGGGGGACGGGGGGGGGAGAGGTAACATGCTGAGGTGAGTCCAACATGGCAGCATAGGACACTGAACTGACTGCCTCCCAAGAACACAGTGGACCAAAGGGTCCTGGATTCGATTTGAGGCAAGAGCATGAACTTTGGTTGCAGGCAGCAACCAATCGATGTGTTTCTCTCCTATTGTTTCTGTCTTTCCCTCTCTCTTCCACTCTCCCTAAAAATCAATGGAAAAATATCTTCGTGTAAGGATTAACAAACAAAAACAAAAAACAAAACCAACACATCAAACCCTTAAGTATTTAGTTCAGTTGGCAGGTTTGATTCAAGTCTTTGAACATGTTACTAAAAAACGATATTTTGAACCCAATTACTCAAAGTTCATTGACTAGCCTATAATGCAGTTTGTGTAAATCTGGTGTACAAACCAACCCCTTAACAGTAGACTTGTTTATTCTTACTCTAACAGAGCTAGCAATTAATTCAGAAAGCAACATTACTTTTCAGGAATTAGGTAATCTAGATAGCAGCATTGGGATAAAATGAAGAGAATTTGTTTCAGCTTCTTATTCAATAAGCCTGTTCCTCAATTTTAGATAATGAGGATAAAGGTATCACAACCAAATATGGGAAACTGCTTTCTCTTTATTTAGGACTTAGGAAGAAAATTAACTTTGGTCACATATTACCTAAAAAATAACCAAACCAACAACACCCCCCCAAAAAAAAACCCACAAAAAAACTTTTACATATTCCTAGATAGGACCAAATGATCAGAGATATAATTTCTTTTGCAAAACTTGCCAAATATTATTAAAAAATCTAACATTCAATGTAATTTAACATATATAAAGACTGCTTGAGATCACAGCATTCCAAATGTATGACGGTTGTATTTCCATCCTAGCAGGTGTGAAAAGTATTTGCTCTCATGTTGCTTTGGTCCAAAAGAATAGAGCTGAATCAGTAAGAGTACACTAAGTACCTAACCGTATGCCAACATTAATTTAGATTATTGGCAGCAGAAATATCTATGATGAATAGTTCTACTATAACAAAGTATAATAAAATAATTCTTTTCATGAACACATCAGAGTAGAGATAAACTTTTATGAGAAAAATATGAACACAAAAAAGACAGCTACCATAAACAAAAAATAGTGTCTCCCTCAACTATTTGAAGGATAAAAAGGTGAGATTAGAGGTTTGATAATGCTAATATGAAAGGAAATTGAGTATTGTATTTATTTCTTATTTTATACAACTCTTACGCTTTACAAAATTGATTTTAGTCATGCCCATAAAAGTGTAACCCATGGCATCTGAAAGCAAACACTCTTTGTAATTACTTAAAAGGGCCTTTTTAAAAATTATAATACAAAGGTCTGTGCTCTATAAGCAGTCCTCCACTGTGCATTATAACAATAAGGCTTACTTTTAATACAAAGACTAAGTGTTTGGGAGTTATGAACCACTGGATTTAACAAACATCATTTTATAGTTGCTTTTTGCATCTTTTTTGTTTTTGGGATCCTCCTCTTCATCAGGGTGCTCAGGAGCCTGGAGTTCTTCAGCAGATTCTTCTTTTTCTGACTCTGAATCACTTTCAGAGTCATCTGGACTTTCAGGATCAGGTGAATCATCATCATCATCATCTCCAGCCACATCACCTTCTCCATCATGATCTTCTACCTAAAGCAACAATCAACAGCCTCTTAAATAGATACAATCAAGTACAAAAACTGGAAAAAACATTTCCTAGCCATTAAATTAAGTTTTAAGACTGTCCTATGACCACAGGCTGCCAAAGGAAGAAGTGAAAACTTCATGTGTTTTATATACTGGGGCTTGAGGATTTTGTTTTAAGAAAAGGCTTTGAAGACCACTCATTCACCTATGTGTTCCACCCTCTACCCTGTTTGGAAGCACGAGACAATTTTTTTAAAGTAAATAAGGCAAGTTAACTTCTGATTCATAGAAATGTGGAAAACATTGTTTTGGATATTATAGTATCAACGTTTTGCATATTACACTACTTGGGAATAATAAACCTAATAGTTGTAATATCAAAAAAGATGACTCGGGAAACAACTAAGAGAATTCTTCCAAATCAGTACTGACATATTTCATCTATCTTGAATATTCTTCATGCCTATTTAAGATGTATCTTAGTGGAGACACACACACACACGGATGCACGTGTGAGCGCACAGGGTAAAAAAATAATGACAAAAATATGGGATAAGGGTGAGTAAAAAATGTAGTGATGTGTTCAAATTTAAACAACCATCAACTTAAAATAAGACTGCTATATTTTGTACAGATGGTAACCAAAAGCCTATAAGAGGTATACAAGAAATAGAGAAAGGAATCCAAACATAACACTATATAAAGTCATCAACATATAAGAGAAGAGAGCATGAGAATAAAAAAGGAAAAGAGAACTATAAAAACCACACAATTTAATAAAGATATGTAATGGAAATGGGGGGGGGAAAGCTGGGAAACAATTCTTGTATCAGACAAAACAGACATTAAAGGCTGTATCAAGAGATAAAGGACATTTCATAATTATAAAGGGATCAATCCAAAAAGAGAATATAATTCTTGTAAACACCTACATACCGAACATAGGAGAACCTAAATATATAAAGCAATTATTAACAGACATAAAGGGAGAGAATGACAATAAGACAATAGTAGGGGACTTTAACACCCCATTGACATTGTTGGATAAATCATCCAGACAAAAAAATTAACAAGAAAACAACAGCCTTAAATGACACATTAGACTACATGGACCTGATAGACGAGTTAGGCCACAAAATAAGTTTCAAAACATTTAAGAAGACTGAAATCATCATATCAAGCATCTTCTCCAAACATGATATAAAACTAGAAATTACAAGAAACAGAAAAACACAAACACCTAGAGGTTAAAAATATGCTACTGAACAATGAATGAGTTAATAATGAGATCACAGAATTCAAAATATATCCAGAGACAAATTAAAATGAAAACAATACCCAAAATCTATGGGACACAGCCAAAGTAGTTCTAAGAGGAGAATTCATAGTAATAAAGGTCCAACTCAAAAAAGGAGAAAAGCTCAAATAAACAATCTAACCTTACACCAAAGGAGCTAGAAAAAGAAACAAAACCCAAAGCTTGAGTAAAAGGAAGGAAATAAAGATCAGGGTGAAAATAAAAGAAATAGTTCAAAGAAAATAGAAAAAAGTCCATAAAGCTAAGATGAAAAGATTAAAAAAACAAACAAAACCTGATTAACAGACCAATTATTAGTAATGAAATGGAATCAGTAATCAAAAACAAAACAAAACAAAAAAAAACTCCCAACAAACTAGTCTTGGATCACATGACTTCAGAGTTGAATTCTACCAAAGAAAATTAATATCTATTCTTAAATTGTTCTCAAAGAATTGAAGAAGAAATGCTCCCAAACTTATTTTATCGGGCCAGCATTACCATACCAAAATCAGACAGAAACACTATAAAAATAGAAAATTATAGGCTAATGTCTTTCATAAACATAGATGCAAAAATCTTCAACAAAATATTAATAAACTGAATTTAGCAATAATTCCAAAAATCATACACTACTATCAAGTGGGATTTATTCCCAGTATGCAATGTTGGTTCAGTATCCACAAATTAATTAATGTGATAAACCAGATAAATAAAATGAAAGACAAAAATTATATCTTATCAACAGTTGCAGAAAAGGCATCTGATGAAAATGCAACATCCATTTATGATGAAAACTCTCAGCAATATGGGGAAAGATAACTCAAACACAACATAATAAATATGACATACCCACAGTTAACATACTCAATATTCAAAAACGAAAGCTTTTCCTTTAAGAACAGGAGGAAGACAAGGGATGTCCATACTCATCAACTTTATTTAACAAAGTATTGGAAATCCTGGGCCACAGCAATCATACAAGAAAAATATTTAAAATTTCCATCCAAATTGGACAGGAAAAAGTAAAATTGTCAGATGATAATAGTTGAATGCATAAAGAACATGTGGTTCACATACACAATGGAATATTATTCGGCCATAAGAAAAAAAAAAAATGAAATCTTGCCATTTGCCACTACATGGAAGGATCTAGAAGGTATTATGTTAAGTGAAATAAGCCAGAGAAAGGGAAATATGATTTCACTTATATGTGGAATCTAAAAAACAAAATAAATGAACAGAAAAGAAACAAACTCACAGATACAAAAACAAATTGATGGTTGCCATATGGAAGGGGTGTTGGAAAGATGGGTATAAAATGTGAAAGGGATTAAGAAGTACAAATTGCCAGTTATAAAAATAGTCACAGGGATATACAATAGAGCACAGGGACTATAGTCAATAATATTGTAATTACTATGTATGGTGCCAGATGGGTACTACACTTATTGTGACCACTTCATAAGGTATATAATTGTTTAATCACTATGTTGTACACCTAAAACTAATATGGCATTTTATGTCAACTATACTGAAAAAATGTGCCCTAGCAATTATCTAAAGCAGAATTTACATAAGCTGCTATCAGAAAAGTTATTAATAAATCTCTAAAAATCTCTCATCTACAAAAATCTAGTACAGCATATAAAAATATTTTAAGTAACTAAAATTTTATCAAATTGCAAATTGATTATCTTCCCATTTAATGAAAATACATTAATTACTACCTCACTGAAGCCAAGTCCACAATGTCTTCGATATCTTCCTGACAATTTACTGTCCATACTTTGCTGATATTGAGACTCCAGTTCTTCATTAATTTTCTTGTCTTCTTCCCCTGCATGTCCAGGGTACTTTGGTTATGTTTCAGTCAAATTAATAAAAATATTTGATTACACAAAAAAAACCCTTAATACAAATGCTATTATAATCAGGGCTGATTTCTTGAACTGTGACTAATTTTACAATTAATTTTGTGAATGGATTTCTATACCATACACCTTAATGGACATAAAATAATTGAAATATATACTTATAATTACTTTTTAATAGCCAACCCTTCGAAGTATAAAAATGTTTATAAAATATAAACAACTTATATTTTCCCACATAATTTACACTAGACACAGAGTCTCAGAAAAAGTGTATGGAGTTTAGATCTTCTAAAAATTAAGTACTAGAAACTCTGGCTATTATATATTTTAGCTTATTTATAATCTAAAAACCATTCTCCTGAAAGTGCAAGTTTTCTTCTAGTTACCAAAAAACCTCCAAACAAAACCTTTTATATTAGAATAAAAATAATGAAAAGACACAATTCTTTTGGAGGATGGTTAGATAAAATGACCTTGTAATGGTTCTCCTTTATGACTTCCTTTGCATATCAGTTTATTGAAGCAACATAAACGTTTTTATCATGAAACATGATAAATATTTTTACATATATACTGTTATATGTAGTTATTTAATAGAAAACTAAACTACCACATAAGAACTCGATGTTATCAATACAAACAAAGCTTTCTGTGCATGACATTTTAATTTGTAAATAAAAGAGAAATTTCACATTTTAATCACCAATGTTGGTGCTTTTCATTATTGTCATTTATAAAACCCCCAGTTTGAAAAAGCAGTTGAATATATTTCCATTCTGCAAAGCTCAGCGACTCAACTTTTTGTAGCAATGCAAATTAATTTAGAAATTGTTTAATACCAGAAATATAAAATATCAATTAATTTCTAAAATGTGCTACATATTCTAGGTCAGTAAAAAGCTAATTTAAATACTTTAATTGTTTTGTTAAATATACTAAGGTCATTATGCCCTATTATTAATGTCCATGATCAAGGTCAATTTGAAGTAGGAGAAAATTTCACTTTTCAGCAGATAGAATCTAAATCCAAATCCATTTCCAGTTCTTATTTAAAAGTTTTACCCCCACAATTTTTTTTAAGTTAATTTTTCAGGCTTTGCAATGAATTTTAGTTCTTCAAAGATTTCAGATCAAAATAGTGAATAAACTATAAACCAGTAAAATATGCCAATTATAACATATGCTAAATAATTTATAAAGTAAAAAATATATAAAGTCAATACATACTACAGTTTGTAAGATGAGGCATAAAATCTTACTACAATTAAAATATATAAGTCAGTAAAAATGAAGACTTAAAAGGTCAGTTTCTTGGTTAAAATATCACATTGATATATACTCTATACTCTCAAATCTTCTAAAAATCAAAGTATATAATAATTATTGTATTATGTTTACACATAATGTAATGTGTTTACACATACTATGTACATTTCCAAGTCTAATATTTTAAATATCATTTTAATTATGTTTTAAATTTCTTACCTGTTCTGAAGTGAGATGTTGATTTGTGATCTCCTATAACAAGACGACCAGTATGTTCTTTCTATAAGGAGGCAGAAAATGTATTAGAATTTGAGACCACTAATCTATATATATAAAAGCCCAAGTGACTGTTCGACTGGTAGCTATGAGGCACACTGACCACCAGATGGGGTCTGGCCAATCGGGACTGGGTGAGATGGACCAGACATGCCCTGGATGAATCTGTGCATGGACTGGTTTAAGACCAATCTCCGCAGGCCAGGGACCACAGGAGGGCTTCAGAGTGTGTCTGGCCTGTCTTGTCCAGTCTCGATAAGGGCCAGCAGACTAGCCAGGGAGGGACCCCACCATTACATGAATCTATGCACTGGGCTTCTAGTTTAACATAATTATTGAGTGTCTACTATATGCCTGACACTATACCAGGCTTCTGGGATACAGTGCAGAAAAAAAGATTAAGTTTAGATCCCTGTCTTTATGGAATTTACATTCTAGCAATGGTAGGGATGTGGTAGGTGGGGGGGGGAGAGAAACAAAAGTAAATTATGTATGTTAGAAGGCAGTAAATGCCATTAAAACACATACAAATTAAACAGAGTAGAGGAAGAGGGTGGAGAGTATGTAAAGAACAAGCTGGAATTTTAAGTGGGAAAGACAGATCAACAAAAAAATGAAAACAATCTAAGTATCTTCTTTTCTAAGAAGGCCAATTAAATGAATTGCTTTAACTTTCCCACTTTCTTTTTCTGGTGTCTCAGGCATATCTCATGGAGACTGCAATGAGACTATTTAACTGGCTGAAAATGAAACAGACTTATAATGCATTTTAATAAATCTTTAAAATATAAAAAATGAAAATCATTATTATTACTGACATAACATCCTCAAATTATTAGCCCATTAGAATTTGGTGGCAAATGAGCACCCAATCTCAAACTATCAAAAAGAACACAAGTTAAATAATCTAGTTATATAAAACAAATTTTTCCATTGATTTTTAGATAAGAGTGAGAGGAAGGTGGAGTGAGAGAAACAATGATGTGAGAGAGAGACATCGATTGATTGCCTCCCACATGTGCCCTGGCTAGAGCCAGGGAATCGAACCTACAACCCAGGTACATGCCCCTGACCAGGAACTGAACCCATGATCCTTTGGTGCAAGGGCCACTGCTCTAACCATAGAACCACACCGGCCAGGGCCCAATCCACTCTTCATGGTTCATATTCAGTTTCATTATGTAAAGAAATTGTTCAGTAGGACACTTAGTGACTTTGCAAAGCAATCTTAAATCATCTGTAAAGATATAGTTAACAAATCTTTCTATTGTAAAAGGATGACAGACACATTCTCCATACCCAAAGATACTACTGAAAACTTCAAGCATTAATGTTTTACATGCCATTAACACATAAGCAAATCGATGATTCAATATATTGTTTCTTTAAATTCCAGAAAATACATCATTAACAAGATCTGAATATATAATGGCTGTGGTCTATTCATACTTACTCAGCAAGTTCTCTCTGTATCCAATAAAATACTTATAGTAGTTGGCTAGGATTAGGAATGTGGCCACAAGCCAGAACAAATCAAATCAGCCTATTTGAGCAAAGCTACAATTTTGCCTTGCTAGCAAAGAATTTAATGTATGTTAAACAGTCCATTTACTGGTAGCCAAATTTCTTTTTAAATGTTCAATATGTTCCCTCCCCTTTTATTGATATAATTCACTACTGGTAGCTATAATGCATATTTTGTTAGTGTCCTTCCTAAGTACTCGAAGAGTTTTCATTCTACCAGGTTTAGCATGCTCTCTAAACTATTACTTATTTTATATATCCTTAGCAACTCTTTTATTTGCATGAAACTAGGTGAACTTCAAAACTTTCTATGAAAAATTACACATTATGGAAAATCTGAATTAATGAGACCTACAAATACCTTCTTTGTACAGATCTTCATGCTTTGCATGATCTCTCCCTACCCTCAATCCCACTGCTATATTCTGGCTAACTCCTTATCCTTTCAGATTCAGATCAATTCTATTTCTGGAAAAGTTTCTTATACTGCTAAGTCAGGGCTAGCTATCTTTCTTGTCCATTGAGTCCACAGCACTATGTGTATAGCTCTTTCATAGCAATTATAATTCTGAATTGTTATTATCTGATTTCCTCTATTACATGATGGCTCCAAACATGTGCTATTGCTCTATGTGATGCCCCCCACCTCCCACTAGACCTTGTAAAGTACCTGGCATATAGTGGTCAGTAACTATTGGCAAAACTAAAATGCACAAATACATTCTCCTATAAATAACAAAAACGAAAAGCAGAATTTCATTATAAGGATCTTAAAAGAGAGAAAAATTTCCCTATTTCTTCCACATTCTATTTGTAGAAAGGCTATCAGGACAATGTTACAAAAAAAAAAAAAATGTACTTGCTTACAAAAAATAAATACCTTGCTACCACTGTATTTGAATGTGAAAATAAATTGCTAGGAAAAGAGTTTTTTTTAATAGGTGATGTTTTTCTGGCACCTATATTTTATATCTTCTATTATGTTAATCAAAGGAATTTCATAAAAATAAATTGAACATTTTAAAAATCAGAGATAAAGATTATTCCCTTGGTTACTTCTTCAAGGGCTGGAAGAAGTAATATGACTACCAATGGGTCTGTCCAGTAATACCTTGTATCAAATAATTAGTCTAACAAATGGCAAAACATAAACTTTAACATCTTCTTTCTTCTGTAGGAGTCTCCTCAAACCAAAAATTTTTTCTATACAGTTCCTAAAGCTACTGCCCAGAGGCAATGAGAATCCTAAGAAATAGTAAGAATTTTAAGTGCTCAGTTTGGTCAGCTATATTTCCCAAAGCCTAAAATAATCATGCAGAACAGGGAAATGGGATCCAAGTATTGTATATTCAGTACTTCTCACTTAACATAACATACACAGAAAAAGGTATTATTTTCACAGAAAAGAAAGAAAGCATACTGTCTGATGCTTACCTTTCCTGCGCCCATAAGCCTCAAGAACTTTTGTTTTCTTTCTTCATTACCTAAGTCTGCTGCCTCCCAATTGCTAGATCCAAGCTGGAAAAGAAATTCACATATTAATTTGTTTTGCCTAATATTAAGTATTAAAAATGTTTAAGTTTACCAGTACATTCTAAGTTTTTTTCCCCCTGTCAGTTTTAACTGTGGGCTCATTCTTATTTAGGAAATTAATGCACATGTATAATAAATATGCAGCCAACTTACGATGGCTCAACAAGATTTTTCATATGATGATATGAAAGTGATGCCCATTTAGTAGAAACTGGTCAGAATAAGCTATGATGTTCAGTAGGTTAAGTTTGCATTTTTGACTTAATGGTATTTTCAACTTACGATGGGTTTATTGGGATATAAACACATTGGAGGAGCATCTTATTCCTTTTGTTACCTCAAGGCAGAAGCTTTTAGTTATTTTGTAGCCAGAAAACTTAGTTTTCAAATTTGTTTCTATCAGCATCATCTGAAGGGCTTGTTAGAACACTCCAGGAATTGCAGATTCAGTCGGTCTGAGAAGGGCTCACAGATTTCATTTCTAACAAATTCCTCAAGTGATACGGTTCATGTGGGCAACCAGATGTTAATACCTACTGCCCCAGAGCTTTATAGGACTCTAGAAGATGTAGTACTTTAACACAGAGGGCTGCCAAGTTGTTAGTTTAAGTTAGCTAAATGCTTTTAGGACAATTTAACATCAGAGTTTACTGGACCCTATTTTAGTTTTCCATTTTCTTTTCTTTAATTTTATTTTTATTGATATCAGAGAGAAAGGGAGAGGGAGAGACAGAAACATCAATTATTGGCTGCCTCTCGCATGCCCTCCACTGGCGACTGAGCCTGCAATCTGGGTATGTGCTCTTGACCAGAATCGAACCTGGGACCCTTCAGTCCTCAGGCCAACGCGCTATCCACTGAGTAAAACCAGCTGGGGCATCAGTTTCTTTGTGAGGAGTTCTAGTTTTTGTAAGGATATGTTATGACTTTCATTTACTCTTAAAGGTCTTCCACAGAATAAAGAGAAAGTTTACTTATTTTTTAAAAGAACAGAATAACCCTAGCTGGTTTGGCTCAGAGGATGGAGTGTTGGCCTGCGGACTGAAGGGTCCTGGGTTCGATTCTGGCCGAGGGCACATGCCTGGATCGCGGGGCTTGCAGAAGACGACCAATCGGTGATTCTCTATCATTACTGATGTTTCTGTCTCTCTATCCCTCTCCCTTCCTCTCTGAAATCAATACAAATATATTTTTTAAAAATTTTAAATGAAAAATAAAATAAAAACAGAATAACCCACAGTACCTTATAATTATCAAATATTGGGCCAAATCAGTATCAAATATTGAACCATTTGATAAATCGAATATTGTGGAATCCTAATGTTATTTCTCTCTACATCTTGAAACCAATGCAAGAATTACTTTAAATCACCAATTACTTCTAACTATGCTAAAAATGACTAAAATAGTAAGAAAATAGAAAAATGGTATTAGAAGAGTTTTCTCATTATGTTGTCTAAAGTACTGCATTACTTTCAAGAAAACATCACCCCTCTGTTGGTCATTTCTAGCTTTCTTTGGACACAGTTAATTCAGATTTTTTTCTTTTCTACCCAAAATTGTAAGTGGGTAAAATATTGGAAACTGACAAAAGGCATTTCACAATTATTAGACAAGTAGTGGAATGCAAACTGACAAGTGATGGCAAATTGTATATGCAAAAATCTTATGAGTCTTTGAATTATGAAGTAAATAACTTTTTCCAACCAAAAATCAATTATAGACTAAGAAAAAATATAATATTCTCATCCAGAGAGTAACTCAACAGGAAGGACTTCATCCTGCAATATTTTGTTCTAATAGCATGGACCATCCTGTTTTTCTAAAATGATATATCGGGTCTAGTAATAATTAATGTCGTTTTTAAACACTCGTTTAAAATCTTGCTTGGCGTTGACTTGTATTGACATAACCTTCAAACACGTGGTATCTACAGAACGTGTGAAGTGCAATTAACAAGTTTTGCTTGAAAAAGTTTGTGTTTGGTTTGGTTTTTGTTGCAAAACTAGGGCTAAGAAGATGGCGGATGAAGAGCATATTCGGCACTGCATGCTTTACGAGTTCCAATTAGGAAGAAAAGCAAGTGAGGCTGCAAAAAACATCTGTAGTGCTCTTGGTCAAGATGCAGTTAGCGCCAGAAAATGCCAGCGTTGGTTTGAGAAATTTCGCGAGGGAAATTTTTCGTTAGATGACAAGAGTGGTCGAGGCCGTGTGTCCAATTTTGATCAAGAAGCATTTCAAGCTCTTTTGGTGCAAAATCCTCAAATTACCCAACAAGAGCTTGCGACAACTTTAAATTGTCACAAAAAACAATTTCCAATCAATTGCGTGCACTTGGCAAAGTCCAAAAGTTTGGAAAATGGGCTCCTCATGAGTTGACCGACAACAACCGTAATCAAAGAGTCACAATTTGCAGTTCGCTCCTCTCGTCAAAACCGTTTGCCGTTTTTAGAGCAAATTGTTACCGGAGATGAAGAATGGGTGCTGTATGTTAATTTGAAAAGGCGGCCTCAATGGTTGGACAAAAATGAGGCTCCGCAGCCCACGCCAAAACCTGACTTGCATGCGAAAAAAGTGATGTTGTGTGTTTGGTGGAATTTTAAAGGAATTCTTCATTATGAACTTTTACCATCTACCCAAACCATTACAAGTGCAGTGTAAAGTGCCCAATTGGAAAGGTTAGCCCAAGCTTTAAGAGAAAAAGAACCCGCGCTGATTAATCGGAAGGGCGTAATTCTTCACCACGATAACGCACGACCGCATACTGCAAGAATCACTGCTGAAAAACTGCGCCAGTTGGAATGGGAAGTTCTCCCTCAACCTGCATATTCTCCTGATATTGCCCCTTCCGATTACCATTTGTTTCGTCCTTTGCAAAACTTTCTTCTTGGAAAAAAATTTAATAATGAAGAATGCCTCAAAAATGCACTGACCGAATTTTTTGCATCAAAATCACAAGAATTTTACAACAGAGGGATTAAAATGCTTCCTGAGCGTTGGGCACAAGTAGTAGAAAACAACGGCAACTATATTGTTGATTAAATTTTGTTGTATTGTTTAAATAAATTCGATTTAAAAAAGTATTAGAAAACGGCATTAATTATTACTAGACCTAATAAAACTTTTATGTTATCTGTACACCAAAACTTACTTGATATGGTTTGTAAGTGGACAAATGATGAAGGCAGGTGTGTATACAAAGATGACTAGAATGAATGTACAATAGAAATGAAAGCATTCAGTGATCATTCTAATCAAGTTTATAATTTAAAAATGAAAATTTTCACATTTATGGAGCAGACGACCCCTTTAACACAAAATTATGAGCAATCATATGTTTAAAATAATTCAAGTAGTATTATATTTTGATGATGCAAATGTAAGAACTAGAATAACTTCCTAATAAGCTAAAATCTATTAGAAATAGGTTTGTAATCTTAAATTATATGTTCCAGCTTCACACGTAACAACTAATAGGCAGTTAGCTATATTCAGAGGATGCTCATCATTTTGGGTATGTATGTCATGAAAATGTGGAATACAAATTTGATTTGGTATGGTTAAATTCATATTAGAATTTCTAAAGAAGGAGATTTTCACTATTCTCCTTACTTATGAAAATTATTGGTAAAAAAAGATTAATATAAAAGAAACACTGATGGCCATTTCTTCTGGGCATATGAGAGTTAAAACTATTTGTACTACATGGACAACCATGGCTCTTCTAAATTCCTTTTGGTAAGGGGATTACATGCTGTCATAATTTTGGCTAAGTTCCAAATTTCTGCTTCTTTCCATTGACAGCTTATCTTTTCACAGACCAGTTAGTTCTTAACTATTTCTGGTTCAATATAGTTTAAAAAAATTAAAGTCTAGTGAAGCTTAAGTTCTGAATTCCACCAAAATCACTCGCTCTCTGTTAACCTCCTAGGCTGGCATTTAACATCTTTTCATTCCTTATTGTATCTATACAGCAAGGCTTCTTTAAAACTCTTGTCTTAACACTTAAAATTGCACAGTGTTTTACAACTTGCAAACTGCTTTCATTTACAGTCTCTCAAGAGTCCATTTAATAAATAAAGACAATGAGGCAAAGAGGCTAAGGGATTTGCTTCCATCCTCTAGCCTTAAGTCCTCTGCTCTTTCCACATTATACCCTACATGAGATAGAGTATTTGGAAATAGTTTATGAACTAGTTATAAAAATATATAAAAAGAGCAAATGTTCAATGTCTTTATATAAATAACCTTATCATTTACAATTTATAATCCTAATACTTTTAAAGCTGTTGATATTCTATAGAACTGTAATCAATTTACCTCCAATAATACCATAGTAACTTTTGGAATTGTCAGCATTTTCCTAGAGTTGGATTCTGTGATTTAATATCTTTTTAAATATTTGATAATCCCATTTAATATGTGAGGTCAGTGGGGGGGAAAAAACCCTTCAATTATCTTTTACATGCAGTGGATGTTCATCAGAAACTATTGACCAACTACATGTTATAATTAGTTGATTTTCTACAATTTATATGTATATTTAAAAACATTTTAAAATGTTTTACGTATATTAAAATATTTTACAAACAAGTTCTTAAAAGATAATTCCCAATTACCATTAAAAATAAAATTCATAGGAAGCAAACTTAAAAAAATCCACTATTAAGGGATAGGTTATTGTATTGCACTATAATATAAAATCAACAACATAATCAATTTTAGGGAATGTGTGATGGTGCTAAGTCCTGATTTGATTTATAACTATAACCATCATCTTCAAATAGAATGCTTGTAGAACTGGAAAAAGTCTTAAAGGTCATCTAGTTTAAATTGATCCCATCAGAAGCTATGTGTCTTAATTACTTAATCCCCTTAACTTTGTGTTAAATTACTTAATATCACCAAGAATTTTCTGTCAAGCTAAAAGAGTATGTCTCTTGAGTCTAGCAAAACAGGTACCTAACATTCTAACAATCAGGTCACAATTAAATATGAAGAGGGAAACAGTGTAATAGCTTTTGAAATGGCACCCAGGTTAATTAAAAGCCTAGATAAATTCACAGCATGAACTGGATTACCATATCAACAAGAAGAGATCTAAACGCCTCTTGTAGGGAGGAACAGAGGGCATGAATAAAGCTCACAATAACTATTCATCCTCAAACCTTTACTGATTGCTAATCTTTCTTGCAAAACTCAAAGTACCTTACTATTCTGGACCCTAACCCTTCCACCCAGAGTGGTGGGTCTTAACCATTATTTCGCTTGCTACAAAAGATACACACTAGTAGTATTCAGTGAGCCTTTTTATGATTCACAAAATAAGATATTATGAAAGGCACTGAAGTATAAGAAAAAAATAAAAAACACACACGATACATTCGGTAGCTGCAGTGCTTTAAACGGAAAGAAAACTAGATGTTGTTCCTTCACCCTCCTTAAAGATGACCTCCCCATCAGCATTCTCAGGGGGCATGTATTTACCCACTGCAAGGTGACCTCGTTTTAAGTTTATTGGATACTGCAGTCTCCATGACAATGAATGCGCTAGGAGCTGGGGCAGATACATACCAAAAGGCCTATGATAAAGCACATACTTATTCATCTTTGAATTTCCAACATCTGACACAGCAGTAAATATTTAATGTGTTACTTTAGGAAATGAATGGTTTGCTATTTAAACTGACGTGCTGGGGTGGGGGTGGGGGTGAGGAAATCCGAGGGAGAAGGGAGGAGGGGAGAGGGAGGTACTTGACATCAAAACGGGCTTCTAGGTCGCAACGTCTCAGACCTCAGCACCACCTTGCGCCAGTAACAAATGACTCCCCTGATACAATTTTTTCCATTCCACACTGTTCTGAGTTTACTCTTAACAGTAAAGACTAACTGTTAACAATACGCTGCAACAATAAACCCGGCCGGAGAATCTGCCTGCCTAGATTGCACGAACACATAGACCCGTGTCACAGGAGCAGTTTTAAGCCTAAAACAGGGCGGGTCCTGCCGTCTCTCTCCCGAGTGGAAAGACCCGACCAAGAGGCTTCCTCAGCCCCCAAAGGGGCAGAGAAGACCTCTTGACGACGCTCTTTCACTTCCCGACCTGTCGACAGTACAGGATTTCCTTCCTCGACTCCCCTTCCTACGCAGGCCTCTGGTGCTCAGCGTGCGGCCCTCTTAAAACCTTGCGACCCTAAATAAAAAAGGGAGACATTTCCCAGTCCTCTGCCCCCCTCCCCCCTCCGCCTTCCCTTCCTTTTCGGGCCACCTCCGGCGCTTTCCTCCATCTACACCCACCCTTCCCGGCCTACCCCAACCCTCAGTAGGCCTCAACCCTCATCCATTCCGCCATTGTTATTTACATCGTCGTCTGGGGAGGCAGAACGCTTCACCCCGTGCGGATGGGACTCCCTGGCAGCACTCATCGTTGCGGGGACCCCGACAGCAAATGCCAAAAACCGAGTCTCTGTTCTTCTCAGCTCCGGCACCAGCAGCCTGCAATCTGCCTCCCGGACCAAGCAGCGCCACTCCAGAACGCAGAGCACGTCGGCCCTTCTCTGCCGCAGTCGTCACGACGCAGCCGCTCGCCACCCCTAGAGCACCCTGGGAGTTGTAGTTTCCTGGCTGACTCCGTACAGCCTGAACGAGAGGCGAAGAGGGGCTACGAAAACTACTATTCCCAGGAAGCTCAGCGGCGCACCTCGCGCTATGTGGCGGGAGTGTCCTCTGAGGCCCCGCCCTCTCCGGCCGGTGGAGGAAGCTTTCCCGCGGATGGGTATGGCGGTGAGCGTTGTGGCGAAGCTTCCTTGGCACAGAAGGAGACTTAAGAGTGGGTTTTTCGCTTTTCACTAAGGTGCCGCCCGGTTGACCTACGTGTCCGTCATAGTTAAGCACCTTAGGTTTCAATGTAACGTTTGAGGCTTCTTATGTGAATCCTCACGAGTGAGCTTACTCCCAATACAAAAACCTTTGAGGGAAAAAATGGCTTCTACTGTTTCCACCCCGGTGCTCTCTTATGACTGGTAGAGGTTTCGAGGTGACCAGCGGTGCAGCTTTCTAGAAGTTTCCGAGGAATATTTTGCTGCTTTCTCTTTTTCACTGAGATGAGTCCGCAATGATGGTGCACCAGTTTTATGGGCAGTTATTGAAACTAACATCCCCCACCCCCAGGGAATTTTGTAAGCTTTCCTCATGGCTTTGTATGAAGTGGCAGCGACCCTGTGTGATCCGGCTGCTGGTGTGTAGGCATTGTATTTTGGGGGGAGTCTTCACCAAGTGAAGCCCCCCATCCCCAAACCAGGATTTCTGTCAGAAAGCCATGTTATCTTTTTTTCCCCTTAAGAAAAAATATTTACTGTTTTTATTGAGGTGGAATTCACATAACATGAAATTAATCATCTTAAAGTGTACAATTAAGGGGCATTTAGTGCATTCAGGGTTCTGCAACCATCACCTCGATCTAGTGCTAAGACATTTTCATCACCCCAAAAGGAAATTCAGTACCCATTAAGCAGTCCCTCCCTAGCAACCACTCATCTTCACAGAAACCGCGGCACCTAAAGGTTTTATTTAGATGTCGGACATTTGTTCATGCAGTAGCAAGGTATCTGAATGTTTAACCAGGCTTGAACCTGTCTGCCTTCAAACCTAGCGTTCTGTGAGGATCCATGGCCTTACTTTTGAAGCTTTCTGACCTTGATTAAAAACTTGATTTTTTTTTTTTTTTAAGCAAAAGTCAGTAAATGGGATGACAGTTCACAAACAGTTGCATTTTGGTACTGAAAAATAGCCTGTGAAACTGCTTCACTATTAGCCCCTGAACTCAGCAGTTGCTTTAGTTTGCCCCTGTAGAAACAGTGTCATTTTTCTCGATATCAGACTATCACCATTTATAGAACTCACCAGTGGAATATAGTTCTTTATGCAGTCATATATCCAAATTCTGCTCTTTTATTTTGGAAGCAAAGGAATAACAATACCAATTCAAAAAAACACCAAAAACAAACCTCAAATAGGATACTTTTTATAACCAAGCAAGATCACCTTAATCAATTAGTTCTGTGAAGAATAAACACATGAAAAGAAAAAGTACTTTTTGAAAGTGGTTGTTTGCTCTTTACTATAAATTAAAATATTTTGCCTACTAACTACAAGTTTACAAAAGTTCTATAAGTGAAAATTACAATGAAATTACAGTTAAGTTACAGAATTTTCTAGGGTGGACTGTGGTTCTCCAAAGCATTTTGAACACTTAGCTTTAATACCAATAAACCAATGGGATGCCTAAATAGGTAATTTAGTTGCTAAAAGAATTCTGGAATAAAAAGGACAATCAATAAGGCTAGTGGTTACTAAATACTTTTAACTTAATTAGTGAAAGTCTAGTAGAAAAGCTTAATGAACTGGCAACCTGTATTATTTCTTTACCAGAATTGTTGGCACCTAGGTGTAAGGCTAATTCTTCAAGTTATAAAACAAAGTCACAATCCTAAAAGTAACATAGGAGATAATGAAAACTGGATAATTTAATCAGATTTTACACTTCATATACAGAAGACTAGGTAAGAATGAAATTATACAGTGTAATACCGTAGAATTGTTTATATGGCATAAAAACTCAATAATACTGTTCCTTGTCTTATAAAAACAAGAAGATATTCTATAATATCTAGTGGAACTTTGAAATAACATCCTCAGGATAGGGACTGTTCCACCTTTATTTTTTGTTTCTGTATCTTTTAGCTCAATGCCTGACACAGAGTAGTTAAGGGTTTTTTTGAAATAATATAGGAAGAATAAAAATAATGCAATGTAACAGAGTGTTATCCTATATAATAAAGAGGTAATATTTAAATTAACTCTCACAACCTCACAAGATGGCTGCCTACAACCAGGCCAGCAGGGGGTTAGGGACAACCTAACGACTGAACAAGTAGGCTGTGTGAGGCAGCCAGGCTGGCAGGGGGGTTAGTGAGGGACAACCAAAAGACTGAACAGTTACATGGGGCAACCAGGCCGGCAGTGGGGAGTAGTTGAGGGTGATTAGGCTGGCAGGGGGGGCAGTGAGGGACAACTAGGCCAGTGGGGGGAGGGAGTAGTTAGGGGCAATCAGGTTGGCATACAGAGGCAGTGAGGGGCAATCAGGCCAGCAAGGGGGGGCAGTTAGGGGCAACTAGGCAGGCAGGCGAGTGGTTAGGAGCCAGTGGTCCAAGATTAGGCAGTCAGACATCCCCCAAGGGGTCCTGGATTGCAGAAGGTGCAGGCTGGGCCGAGGGGACACCCCCCTTGTGTACAAATTTTATGCACCGGGCCTCTAGTCTAATATGAAGTCCAGAAAAGCAGCAATGTCCTTTCTAGGGTAATAAAGACAAGGAGAGGAGACCATGTTGCTAATAGAACTTTGAGATACTTCCTGAGATTAGAAACCATTTCCTGCAAATTTGGGATGCTTAGTTCCAAGAAAGAATTATATAATATTCTCTTTCAAGACAATAATCCAAAAAAATCAAGGATTCCCTTAATGTGCTTGTATCTAGTAATTAATGAATTCATTCATTTCTATTTGCAGTAATTCATAAAATACTTGCATGTTTATAATCCAGTTTTATATATTTATTAAATAACATATAAGACTACTATGAATTATAATTTTTACCCTAACAAATATTGTGTTTTTTTTTTAAATAAACCTTTATTGTTCAGATTATTACAAATGTTCCTCTTTCCCTTCCCCCAAATTGCTCCCCTCCACCAGGTTCCCACCCCACCCTCTGCCCTTTCCCCACCCCCCACTGTCCTCATCCATAGGTGCACAGTTTATGTTCAGTCTCTTCCCACACCTCCCACTCCCCTTTTCCCTGAGAATTGTCAGTTCACTCCCCTTCCATACCTCTGATTCTATTATGTTCACCAGTTAATATTGTTCATCAAGTTTTTTAATTCCCTTGGCTTTTAGTTTCACTTGTTGATGGTTATATATTTATTGATCATAATTTTTATCTTTATCTTCTTCCTCTTCCTAAAGAACCCCCTTCAGCAATTCATATAATTCTGGTTTGGCGATGATGAACTCCTTTAGCTTTTTTTTATTTGTGAAGCTCTTTATCTGGCCTTCGATTCTGAGTGATAGCTTTGCTGGGTAGAGTATTTTTGGCTGTAGGTTCTTGGTATTCATCACCTTGAATATTTCTTGCCATTCCCATCTGGCCTGCATGGTTTCTGTTGAGAAATCATCTGACAATCGTATGGGTGCTCCTTTATAGGTAACTACCTGCTTTTCTCTTGCTGCTTTTAATAGTCTCTCTTTGTCTTTTGCTCTTGGAATTTTAATTATGATGTGTCTTGGTGTGGTCCTCTTTGGGTTCTTTTTTTTAACTTTTTAATTTTTATTTTTTATTGATTTTTTACAGAGAGGAAGGGAGAGAGATAGAGAGCCAGAAACGTCGACAAGAGAGAAACATCTACCAGCCGCCTCTTGCACACACCCCCACTGGGGATGTGCCCACAACCAATGTACATGTCCCTGACTGGAATCGAACCTGGGACTTTTCAGTCCGCAGACCAACGCACTACCACTAGCCAAACTGGTTTCGGCTTTGGGTTCTTTTTGTTTGGGGTTCTGTGTGCTTCCTGGACTTGTAGGTCTAATTTTTTCACCAGGTGGGGGAAGTTTTTTGTCACTATTTCTTCCAGTATTCTTTCAGTATCTTGCTCGCTCTCTTCTTCTGGGACTCCCATAATTCTGATGTTGGTTCGTTTGAAATTGTCCCAGAGGTTTCTTACACTATCTTCAACTTTCTGGATTCTCTTATCTTCTTGCTTCTGTGGAGGAGTGTCCTCTGGCTCTTTGTGTTCCAAATCTTTGATTTGATACTTGCTATCTTTCATTCTGTTTTTAGGACTCTGTATAATATTTTTTATTTCAGACAATGTATTCTTTATTTCTAGTTGATCCCTTATTATTTCTAGTTGATCCCTTTTATATCCTCATAGGTCTCATTTATTTTATTGGCCTTTTCTAGGAAATTCTTGAAAAACCTTATAAGCGTGGTTTTGAACTCTATATCCAGTCGCTTCTTGTCCTCCATTTTTTTTTTTTGAGATCTGTTTCCTTGTCTCGGCATTTTTGCAGCTTCCCTGAGTTGGTAGGATGGCTTTGTGTGCTAAGGTGTCCTATATGGTTCAGTGGGTCAGCCTCCCAGTTACCTGAGGTGGATAGTCTTGGTGTAGCCCTTTGTGGGCTGTGTGTGCAGTCTTGTTAAGCCTTGCTTGTTGTTGGTATCACTGGGAAGCGTTGATCTCTAAGCCAATTGGCTATGAGGATCAGAAGTGTCTCAGTTGGGGGGGTTTCTGTATTCAGCTTGGATGGGGTGGAGTCTCAGGTGGCACAGACAAGCTTGGTAAATCCAGCAAGATTGGTTACAGGCGCGCACCTCTTTGGTATAGGCGCAGATAAGCTTTGGATTCCTGTCTGTCCCTTCCTAAGAGTCCTATTCCCAGCAAACGAGAAAGCTAGCCACTGGAAGGGCTTTTGTGCTCTGCTTGGATGGGGCGGAGTCTCAGGGTGGTGCAGACAAA